GAGCACAGAAGCTCATTTAACGATTTCGCTTATCTCATATCGCTTTCGGAAAAAGGACAAAACTGGCTATACGGCAAAAATCAGGTATTTGTTTATTATTACCTTTCACACAAAATCTTCAAAAATATAAAAAAGATAATGCAAATCTGTTAGAATATGTTCACTCATAATCCCTGAAATTAGTATCAGTTACAGGGGCGTTGTACTATCATATAATAGATCAAATAATGATTGATGATTTTTGTTAGAAATAGGTTAAAAAACAACTGCGTTACTATGACGCAATACCCCTGTCCCTGGTTCAAACTTTGGACATCCTACCCTCGTTAAACTTTCGCTATCTTAGTAATCTCTGATCCCTGGGGTATAAAAGCATTCCTCCCCATCGCCGTGATCGCCACAACTCATCAACCACTTTCGACCTATTTATTAGATTTCATTCCTGCTCTAGGGAGCTAAACTGTTAGGGTCGCGATGGTACTGAAAATTTATTCAGAAAGTAGGGGAGGAGAGACGAAAGGAAAAAATCCCATACTATCAGGAACGTTTTGAAAGAAGTTTCTTCAGGTTTTGTTTGTTTTGTAAATTGGTTTTGCTTTGTTATTTTAAGCTGATTTTTGATTTTTTGTAGGACAGGTAAGATTTGTTCATTTTCGATTTTAAAATAGATAAAAAAATCTCTGTTTTTGGCGGTTTTTTTTTGTTACGTACGATTTTGTATTGATATATAACAATTTTAACATTTCTTACCATCAAAAAAAATTTTTTTCAACATTTTATTAATTCTTCTTTTAACATAAAAAATATTTTATTTAGCTTATTAATTATAGATTATTGCTGATCATTTTCAGGAGTTGTACCTCGAAACAACGCCACTGCTGATAGGACGAATACGCGTCAACGATGGACGGAATGCTCCACGCTATATATCGTTACCTCAGGGTAGTGAACCGCTCCAATCCAAGTATGTTTGCTATGTTCTGTTAGCTAATTAAAGCATTTTTTGGCAATTTTGCTCTGTTATGCCGAAATACGAAAGATTGGGTAAAGGTGGAGAGGGAGCTAGAAGGGGCATTGAATAATTTTTCTGGAAAAACGCGAAAAATGGAAAAAAAAGATAAAAATCTGGAAGCGGTTTGCTTAAAAATTATTCAAAATTGAAGCTGAAAAAAAGAGTTTTGCAGAATTTTAAATCGAACAAAACAACGTACATGGAGGGATTGCTCATTTTATAAAGAATTGGCGAATTCCACAACAGATAGTGCTTTTGTAAGTTTTCTTTTATTCTTTCGCCAGCAAACTTCAATCCTCGTCCAATAATCCAAAAAATGCAATTTTTTTTTTAAAATCTGATTTCAAAAATGCCGTATTGTTACTCACACCTGTAGGGAAGGCAGCAAGATTTCATCGAAATACATCCGTTGAATTTCTTTTTTTTTCCACCGTTGCTAACTGCAGTCAATGTGCTTATACAAATATCGATGTTTAGGGACAGCTGGAGAAGAAATTATTTGAAATTCGTACAAATTTAGCGATCGAGCTCGACTGTGGTGCACACATCATTGCATCCAACAAATGCATTCAGCAACTCGCAATGATTCGGCCATCGAGGTTTATTCAAGAAAATTTTTTTTCATTTTTTTGAAAAGCGAGCAAAGTCAATTTTTTTAAAAAAAAAAGTATCCGTGTACAAAATTATTATAAGTTTTCCTTATTTTTTACTGAGAAGTGTTTTTTTTTTCATTCTTATTTGTGTTTGCAGT